GCTTACCCTGCAAACACACCCTGGAGCTGAACACACTGAGAACTATCCCACCAAAAAATCCAGCATGCTGGGATCTGACTAAGCAGGGAAAGAGTCCAGTTTCTTGGAGCAGTTGATCTGGCTCTCAGGAAAGCTGCTCAGCAGGTTGGAAAACGAAGTAGTATTGATGCCTTCAGTCCAGTCATGAAAATATTTCAGTTCTGGAGGTGCAGATCTCAAAATGTTTTATGTAATAGCCATGGAGATCTTGCTCTCTCTCTCTCTCTCTATATATATATATATGTAGAAGATAACCAAAAAAATTTCTTTTTCCTAGGAACTCCAGCAGCTTAGTAAGCAGTACAGCAATGTCAAGCTTCTCCAACTGGGTGAGTAAAGGGCTTTATTTCTATCCATAGAAATATGTTCAACTTCCTTAGGTGAGTGCACCTTAAGAACCTACTCTCCTGGGTGGTCAGTAGCTGGACATGATCTCCAGCAGCTGAAAACTCCCTTAAGATAACACTAGGGAAACAAAATCTATCTAAAATCTTCTGTGTATTGTCACCTGTGCGCTGCCTAAATGTCCCCACTCAGCTTTAGCTTTGGTTTGGGCAGGTGTTGTGTCATGCCAGGCAGGCTCTGACCCACACTCTTCACTGTGCCTCCTCTGTGCAGATGTGGTCTGTGAAAACAGCATCAAGAAAGTAGTCAAGGAAGTGGAAGAAATCGTGGGGGACAAAGGGCTGAACTGCCTCATCAACAACGCCGGCATCAACGTGCTCGCCTCCTTGGAAGAGGTCACGGCAGAGACCATGCTCACCATCTATGAAACCAACACTGTTGCCCAGCTGATGGTCACCAAGGTAAGAACTGGGAGGAATGTGCTTAATCTGGGGTACTAAAGAGGGTTTTCTCTTATAACCAAAGTGTTTTTCCCCTTGGAACTGCACGGGTACAGTTCTGATGTTGAACTGCGTGTCTGGAGAGCAGCAGTCTGTCAAGGACCTTTCTCTGCATTTAGATCCCTCTGGGGTGAGGTCACTTCAGTGGACAGGTGGGGTTAGGAGGTGGGTGGAAGAGTCTGAAGGTCCTTGCTACTTCCAGCTGGCTGCTGTAGGAAGGTTTCCTACGGCCACCAAGTCTGAGGAGTCATCACCATTTTGTGCTCTTCAAGAGTCTGGCTTGCCTTGAATGGGGAAATTACGCAAACTAAATCAAACCAAAATCACGAAATTAAACCAGACTCTTGTTTTCCCAGGCGTTCTTACCCCTCCTGAGGAAGGCAGCCCAGCTGAGCACAGGAATGGGCTGCCACAGAGCTGCTATTATCAACATGTCCTCTCTCGCTGCCTCCATGCAACTTGTCCAGGCAAACGAGATGTTCCTCAAGGTCTACCCCTACAGGATAGCCAAGGTTTGTGGGCTCCCCTGGCTGTGCTCCCTGGCTGAGGGTAGGCTGGGAGTTAGACACCACACTGAGCTTAGGATGGTGATGGACACAGAAACTGTGCTTGTTCTTCACGTGGGTGGAAGTGGGACCTGTAAAACACCTGGAGTGAGCATGTGAACTTCTGAAGAACAGGCTCCCAAATCACTGCTGTGATTCAGAGGGATTTGGCATTCAGGGAAGAACTGATGCCATGAAATGTGTGTGCTGTCAGCTGAGTTCCTCTCCAGTGGAGGAGAGATAGCACAGAACTCAGCAAAAGGTGTGCTGACCTGTACGTGGTGATGCTGGTTAGTGAGAGGTGGGATTTTTAGTTTTCTCACCTCCAGAGACTGAGTTTGTACGGATAGCGAAGATCAGACACAGAGTTTCTCCTACACCACCTACTCATAAGCTGTTAAACGCTTGTTTTCCCTGTTCAGAAGTAAATGAAGGTTTGTGTAGTGATTATTGCAGAAAAACACAGTCCTTATGTCAACATTATTTTCCTCACAGCTCCTCAGGAGTTTCAAATGCTACCGTATCCTCCATCATAATTTAGTTTCATCTTTGGGCAGTCAATTTGTGGTTACAGAGCTTCCACAATGAGTCTATTAACAGGTGTCTCTGAGAATGAAGGCCCAGTAAGTCTGGATAAGTTACTGTGATCTTGTTACTGCCCCTTCCTTTGTCAGAATTGTGGAAGGGGGGTGCCAATTAGCTTGGTTTGAGGTCTTGCTTGAGGTTTATAAACCAGCCCCCTAATAGATGGTTTCCTCTCTCGCAGACTGCACTGAACATGATCACCAGGTGTCTTGCTGCAGACTTGAAATCGGATGGAATTCTCTGTATTTCTTTGCATCCAGGCTGGCTCCAGACAGACATGGGTGGAAACATGGTAAGTGACACCTCTGAAAACATGAAAATAGGGCTCCCTTGTTATCCCAAGAGCCCCTGGCACAGTGTTCACCTCCATGTGCTGCAGAGGCACACTGTGAAGCAGGAAAATACATCCCTCTTGATTCTAGTAACTCCTTAAGTGCATTTGATTCTCTTCCGTAGGAAATTCCCAGTAATGAACCCAAGCTTGATTCTTTCCAGGCTCCCATGCAGGTGCAAGAGGCTATCCCAGGTATTCTCTCTGTTCTGGACCGTCTTGGTGAAAAAGAGAATGGTTCCTTCCTGGACTGGCAAGGGGAAACTCTACCATGGTAGAAGTGCACAGGTTACCACAGAAACAGCACGTCAGCCACGCTCTAACCTCTCATGTCTGTGTCTCTGGGGTTTTCTCACACACTAGTTGAAGTAGCCAGTCTGATATCCAGCCTCTCTAGGTGTCTTTGAAAAATGAAGTGGTTGACTCTCTCACTCGGTATTGCTACTGCTCTATTCTAATGCTTCCTGCAAACACTACTGTGCTCTTGGTGGTGGTGGGTATCTCCTGGAACCATCTGAAATGGATTAAAACTTGCGAGTTAAATCCAGGGGCTGGTTCCTCTTCACTTCCAAAACCAAAGTGGGCCTCTTGCTCTCTGCAGAGTTAAATGACCTGACCTCAGAGCAAGGCCAGTGTAGGCTGTCAGATCCCAGGATGCTCAGTCTGCTGGAGACATGTCTCCAGAAAAGAAGTCCTTTGGTTTCCTTCGGTCTTAACTGAGCCAAGGCTGAAAGTGCCCAGCTCTAAACCACGTGAATTTGGTACTTCTGTAAATTCCTTGGCAAACTGTCCCCAGGTTGACAGCGTACACCAGGCATTGCTTTGTTCCCAGAGGGTGACTAACATCCTGATACGGGGGTGGGAATGTTGTTTTGTACATAAACTTCTGAAGTGTCTTCAATAAAGTCTTGTTTAAAAAACCAGTCTGTTTACTGAACTACTTCCTTAATTAATTTCTCTTCATTGGCTTCTCTTCCCTGACCAAAGAACTGCACTTCTACCTTGCAAGAAGGAACTCCAGCCATTGCTGTTCCCTTTCAGGCTAGATGAGTTTGACATGGTGGGGTGTAAAACTGAGACAGACCCTTGTTCTGGTCTGAAACACTAAAAGCAGCCGGTGAATAAATCCCTTGTGTGCTGCTGAGGGAGCTATAAAAGCAAAGCGTTCTTTGAAGTCTGGGATTGGCTTCACCATCCCTCCCTCATGCCAGCTGATGAGGCACTTTCATGCTGTGCCAACATGGTGGGTTCCTGCACCAAAGTAAGAAAAGACAAACAACAGCCAGGTAAGAGGGAGAGACAGGTGTGGCTGTGCCTGGACAGCAGCCACCGAGACCTGCCCACGGATGCAGACGAGGGTGTGTAAGGGAGAGGTGTCTGCCCGCCTTCCATGATCCCCATGGCAACAGGGATAGACTGTCTCACTGGAACGGAATCACAGGATCATTGAGGTTGGAAAAGACCTCCAAGAACATCAGGTCCAACCTTTGACTGATCTCCACCTCGTCAACTAAACCAGAGCACTGAGTGCCACATCCAGTCATTCCTCGAACACCTCCGGGGATGGTGACTCCACCATCTCCTTGGGCAGCCTCTTCCAATGTTTAACAACCCTTTCTGTGAAGAAACTCCTCCTGATGTCCAAAATTCCTCCTGATGTGGCTTGTTGTGCCACGCTTCTCTGCTCAGACCTGTTTAAGCTGTGACTCAGCAGGTGAACACAACACAGACATTGACTTTCCAAGTGTGACCGAGGTGTCTGTGCAAACCCGGTGGGTGAGGGACACGCTGGGTTTGAACTGGTTGAATGATTTATTTTGGATCAAAGCTGGGGAAGGGTCTGGAGCACCAGGAGAAGCTGAGGGAGCTGGGGGGGGCTCAGCTTGAGATGCTCCCACAAGGTCACTGAGACCAGGACTGAGACCAGGACTGCGAGGGGTCGTGAGGGACCGTGAAGGACTGTGAGGGACCATGAGGGATCATGAGGGACCACGAGGGACCACGAAGGACCCTGAGGGACCATCAGGGACCATCAGGGATCATGAAGGGCCAAGACCAGGACCGTGAGGGGCCATGAAGGACCAGGACAGACTGTGGGAGACCATGAAGGGCCAAGACCAGGACCATGAGGGCCCGTGAAGGACCGTAAGGGGCCGTGAGGGGCCATGAAGGACCATGAAGGACCATGAGGGACCATAAAGGTCCGTGAGGGGCTGTGAAGGACCGTGACAGGCCCGTGAGGGACCGTAACCATGAAGGATCGTGATTATGAAGGGCAGAGACTGGGACCGTGAGGGGCTGTGGTGGACCATGAAGAACCACGAAGGGCCGTGAGGGACCGACCATAAAAGGCCGTTCCGGACCGTGCGGAGCTATCCCGCGGCCACCCCCAGAGGGCGCCGCCGGTGGCTCCGGAAGTTCCGGCGGCGGCGGGGCCGGTGTGTGATGGCGGGTGATGGCGGCGGGGCCGGGGAGGGAGGGAAGGGGGGAGGGAGGGAGGGAGGGCCGGGTGGGTTCCATGCGGGCCGTGCCGGGGCTCGGGGCGGCGGCGGGGAGCGCTGGGAGGGCTGCGGGGAGCGGGGGCAGCCCGTCGGTTCCGGCCCGTCGTTAGGGCCGAGCGGCTGCTCCGCCCGGCCTGAAGGGGGAACAGCGCTGTGCCGGGGAGACTCGGCTGCTGTGTTCTTAAAGCTAAAGCAGCCCAAGCTTTATTAATTAATCGTCTCCGCGGCTCGGCTACTCCCTGTGCTTGGCCCCCACAGCACAGCCCGGCAGACTGATGTGGTAAAACGAGGAGGGTGTTTAGGGTGTCTCAGCCCGTCTTTTTGGGGGGTCGGGGTTAAATAGAGAAGATTTTTTTGTAAAATGCATGTTTGCCTCCGTAAATAAGTGTTCTTATTTTAACAGTCATTGCTGGCTCTGCCAGTCAACAAAGTGAAACAAAATGTTAATATCACAGCTGAGTTCCCAGTTACTGAAGGCTTCGAGAATTGCAGGTAAACTGGTGCTGTGGGACCTTATTTGTTTATTTATTTGGGTTTTTTTCCTGGGGTAATTTGTCTCTCGGAAATTTCTTTTCCGGGAAGCAATGACCAGGAGCGAGGAGGCTGTTGTTGAGTCAGTGGTTGCTGAGTGCTGTTACCTCTCAGATCTATTATGTCAGGATTGAGTAGCTCTGACTTCACCTCTTCTAAGCCAAAGAGGAGATTCCTTAGCAAAGCACAGGTTTGACACAGCAAACAGTTCCTTGCCGTTCCAAACTGCACTTCGTGGAATCAGGGAAGGGTTTGGGTTGGAAGGGACCTTAAAGATCATCCAGTTCTGACCCCCTGCCGTGGGCAGGGACACCTTCCACTAGACCAGGTCTGCTCAGTGAAGGAGAACCTCCACCCTGCTCTACCTGGGTGACTTGGGCAGTTCACACAGTAAAGTACATTGTATTTTTAGCAGATGGCATTATAGCAGCGTAATTAAAATTTAGAAAGACTTCCTTGCTTTTGTGATGACAGTACAGTTTTTGTAAGGCTTTTCCTCTGTCACACCATTCTGGCCAGAGCTGCCTGGTGGTTTGAGAGCTGGGCAGAGCTTTTCTCATGAAAATTCTGCCTTCTAAACGAAATTCTTTTCTCCTAAAGGCCACCTTTTGCCCAGGTCCGTGTCTTCCTTCCTTTGCTGCCGCTCCACGTCCGCCCACTACAGCACCCAGCCCCCCAACACGAGCGGGGCCCAGCCCCAGCAGTGGCACACCCTGGACCCTGAGCTGGAGGAGATCCTGATTCCCAGGAAACTCTCCATCAGCCCCTTGGAGAGCTGGCTGTCAGTGAGGTATTCCCTTCCCGAAGCAGAGGGAGCTGAGGAGGAGGTGGGCCATGAGCCCCCCCAGGGGTCCGAGTGCCCCCCGCCCGCCGGGGGAGCGGCTGTGGGGGAAGGAGGGGGAGCCCCCGGGGGGACAGTGCAGTGCAAGAACGTCCTCAAGATCCGCAGGAGGAAGATGAACCGCCACAAGTACAAGAAGCTGCTCAAGAGGAGGAAGTTCATCCGCAGGAGGATAAAGGAGGGGCGCAAGAAGAGGCGTCAGGTGAGCTCAGGGAAGGGGGAATTCCACGGAGCGAACGTGGCCGCTCCTCAAAACGGCCCCTGTTCGGGTGTTGGGGGGATGTTTTTAAGTGGGATTGTTTGAAAGCAGCAGCTTGGAGAGCCTTAAATTCAGTGTTTAGCCCCGAGCTGTGCCAGGGAAGGTTCAGGTTGGACATCAGGAGGAATTTCTTCCTGGAAAGGGTGGTCAGGCACTGGAAGGGGCTGCCCAGGGAGGTGGTGGAGTCCCCACCCATGGAGGTGTCCAAGGAACAGCTGGATGTGGCACTCAGAGCTCTGGGCTGGGGGACAAGCTGGGGATGGGGCACAGGGGGGACTTGATGATCTTGACCTTTTCTAACCTTAATGATTCTGGGATGGTGAGATAGGTAATAAATGAAATTTTTCTTCCATGACAGTAAATTACAAAAACCTGTGGCTGATGGAGAAGAATTGTGTTGTTTGTGTGAAAGATGTGTCTGTGTTGTATCAGGGAGATTGGTTTAATCTTAATTTCTCTCCTGTCTTGCCAACATCCTCAGGTGCTTCCTGTTGTTTTATCCTATATCCTTGATATATCCTATATCCTTGTTTTTCTTCCATTAATAGGAGGGGTGGGGGAAGACATGGGCCTCTGTTCAAACTGTGGATGTTCTCATTCAGCACTGCCTTTCAGTAGGGTTTGCTGTGATAGTTTCGTTCATTCTCTGCTAATTCTCACCTTGCCTGGGTGCAAATTGGGGTTAATTGTAATTCCATGTCTTCAGATTTGTAGGAGGCAGTGTTGAACACTTAATGATGAGAAAATCCTCTTAATTTTCTTCCCATTTCATTGTCCACCTTCTCACTTCTTCTTGCACGAGGCTTTTAAAATAATGCTACCACGATCCTTGTGCATTTTATTGTCTAATCTTGTACTTTCTGCAGCAAGGTTAAATATTTTGTCACTTAAAACAAGCTGCTTTGTTTCCTTTGTGTGTGTGTTACACTCAGATTGTCCTTGGGACTTGTGGGCAGTGGCTTTGAATGAATATTCAGGTGTTGCTTCTGGGCTGTGTTACCTTTTTTTTTTTTTCTTGTTTTTCTGTTTTAGATAAAATTCGAGAAGGATTTGGAGCGCATCTGGAAAAGGGCTGGTTTGAAAGGCCCTCCTGCAGGCTGGCAAACACCCAAGATATTCCTGAGGAGTTCAAAGCGATAAAACCCCACCTGTCATGAGTTTTGACCTGTAATTGTAATTAAAAAAAAAAATATTGCAGTACCTGGATGACATTTACCCTTTCTCTGAACGTGATGAAATGAGCAGGAAGGAGTTTTCCAAGCACAGACCTGCTGGGAATATGCTTTTCCTCCCCAGAGGGGTGGTGTGAGCTCTTTGTGTGGTGGTTTGGTGCTGCTCTGTGCTCTTTGTCTGAGCAAAGGTGTCCTGGGGCTGCAGCTGAACTTCTGGAATTCCTGTTTGATTAATTAGAGCATAAGAACAATCAGCTGTGGGAGATGGGATCAGTGGAAGGATTCTTCTTGATTGTATATATGACACAAGCATTTGGAGAAGGTCAAAACTGCATTCTCCCATAGCCTTATTTCAGAAAGGCTGGTGTTTTCTAAGAATTCTGGGGAGATAGGGGTTGGATCAGAATTCCGTAGGATGTGTCTGTATCTGCAAAAGCTTTATCTGAAGCCTTGGTGTGCATGTGCCTTAGGCATTGCATGGACAACCTTAAAGGCACATTGTGCTCTATTTTGTGCTAATAAAAAACTGTTTTGTTTTTTTTTTTCTTTGATTGACCCTTGTCACACAGAACATCCAGGTCTTGGTGTCAATAAAAGCTCAGAGCTAATTATTCGTTAACTACAAAAAGTTTTGTGCCTGAGACAACCCTGGTAATAATCACCTGGTTTTGCATGGTTGAAGAGAGTCACGAAAGCTGTGGAAAAAATACAGGTATCTAAAATAAACCCTGACAGAGGACTTTATATCTGGGCTCTGGTTTGGGTTCTGCTTTTGGTTTCTGTGTTTGAGGCAGTTCTGGGTGGTTCAGTGTGATTTAACTTTTCCCTGTCTGCATTCCTGGGGGGAACTGACCTCTGAGAGAGGAGGGAAGAAAAATCAGCTCCTTTGGGCTGGTCACTGTGCAGTGCCCGGGGAAGCTGCCCTGAAAATGCATTCCCCTTTATTCTGCTTTAATGTTCCTGAGCACAGGATGGAATTTGAAACTCCCTCACTTTGCTGAACAGGATCAGACAGATGAAAGCTGCACTGAATCTTTCTGCAGAGGGAGCACGAGTCCAGGAGATCCTGTTCACAAAGCTTTGCTCTGAGCTGCTCTTCCTCTCCAAAATATCTGCATACTTAGCAAATGTGTATGTGCATGTGTAGCTGTGATAACAAAAAAAAAAACCAGGAAAGGTTTGACTGTTATAATTCCCAAAATATTTAAGACTTGGAAGATTTCTCTTTCGTCTCCTTATTTTGCTGTCCTGAGAGGAAATGGTTGGAAGCAGGAGGTTGATGAGACAAATCTATACTCTTTATTCCAGAGATTGGAGGTAACCAGCGGGATGGTGATTTTGTGTCAGTCATTAGTCTGGAAAGATCCTCAAAATTGGTGTAGAAACCCAGTTTTTCTCTCATGCTTATGCCCTTAATTCTTGGATTGCGTGCACTTCAAATCAGACAGTGAGCTCGGCTGAGAACATTTGAGTTTAATAGTTTTTCTCACAGTGATCAGGTTTGTGCTGAAGTGATTTGGCTCTAAAAGAGGAAGTCAGCTGACTTGGAAGGGCTGAAAGTTCTGAATTTTGTTTCTTTTAGCCAAAAAATATCCCATTGCAGGCTCAGAGAGTGTTCTGCCTTTTGGAAAAGTGGGAGCCCAGCGCCGTGGTGGCAGTGGCTGCTGGCTGGATGTGGCAGGAACACCCATTTCTTTCTAATGCTGGCAAATAATGCTTCCTGGCAAATGAAATTTTGGTTGTCTCCTTGGCCTGGATTGCTGTGTTTCCCAGTAGGGTAAGAATTAAATGCATTTTTAGGAGTCTTCTCTAGAAAACTTGGTGTTCCGTTACATCAGTGTGGTTCTTGAAGTGTTTTAGAGGCTTCTGGACATAAAATAACAGTTCTTTCAGCCACACAAATGGCTGCAGAATAACTTACAGCTGAGGATCAGGCCTGGCTGTATATGGGAAAGGAAGCAATGCAAAAGAACTGCTTCCTGCAGCTTTTTCCTCAACTATTGTGTTAACACAATCCAAGATAGGCTTGGATTTCCACAGGGGTGGAAAAGCCTGGATCAGCTGCCAGTGCTTTGCATAGTTAGATGGTTGTTTAGTGCTCACAGAGCTGAGGTGTTTGCAATGACAAGGGATTTTTAGAAATGATGCAGAAGGAGGGGATTTATGATACTGATGGGAAGCAGAAAATTAATTTCAATTACCTTTTTATAAAGGGAGCACCCTTTTTATTGCAGGGCAGATCAAGAAGCCAGGAGAGTTGGTCACTTGGCAACAAGGATTGAAGCCCAAATGGGTGGAAAGTAGAAACGTTTGAAGTGTGTATAAATTGCATCATCTTAGCAATTAATTTACCTCTTCATGCCCAAGTTAACCATAACCCCTCGTGGTCTGGGGGTCTGTGGAAAAGATTTTAGCCTTTGCTTTAATTCACAGGAACAGCCTCCTTGGTAATATCTCCTGTGGTTTTGGGTCACTTCAAATGAATTCTGTTCAACTCTGGAGTTTGGCATGGAAAAAGGGGAAGTCCAGCAGGCTACTGGTCTTGGTTAAAAGCAACTGGTGCCTGTTCAAAGCACAAAAGGATGTTCCTTTTGTTTGGGACTCTTGTGCTTGCCCTGCAAAGCAGTGTTGGATTTCTGTTTGGGTTTATTGTTTGTTTGGGTTTATTGTTTGTTGGGGGGTCAGGGGTTTTTTTCTTTGTTTGTTTTTGTATTGTGTGTGTGTAGGGTGTTTGATTGGTTTTTTGTTTGATTGTTTGGTTTTGGTTTGGATTTTTTTTGGTTTAATATCAGAGGGAGAGGAGCACTTCTCTGCACAGCAAAACTCTGGCACTGGAAGCCCAAGTTCTTTGCATGTCTATACTGTGGGAACTGCTCTTTCTTCCATTAGCAAACTCAAGACCAGTCTTAAAAAGAAGTGAGTAGCCCATGTCAAGGAAAGCTTATGAGCATCTGGTGTACAAAACACCTTTTAGGGGATTAACAGGACCTGACTATCATTGCCTAATAATTCCTGAGCAGGAACAGTGGCTACTTTTACTCTGGTGAGCTCATGCTTGTGTTAAATGGGACACTTTCATAGGAAAAACTGTCAAAATATTGGTGTGTGCTTGTTGGCTTTAATAGCTCTGGGTCCTTCTCAAATTCTGAAGGCAGCTCTGCTTCAGTGGGTCTGATCCCTGCTCCAGGGGTTCCAAATTTAACAAACCAGGCTTGTTTCCACTGGCTGATCTCACAGACAGCACCTGTGGATAACTTAAAATGACATCTTTTCTTTTCACCAGTCGTGTTCTGCTGTTGGCGTTTCTGTCCTGACTGGGAAAACATCCTGGTTTGGGTTCATTTGGGCTGAGCCCGATGGGTTCCTCTTCCAAAAATAACAGCACTCAGTCCTTCACCTGGAGCGCTGCGTTTGAGGGTTGGAAAGGTGGGGTTTGTTTTTCCTACTGATTTCTAAATAAATAAATAAAATAGCAATAGCTGTAGCTCCTGCAGACATCTGAGCTGGCTTTGAGCAAACAACAGTGTGCTGGCTTTCTTGTGGAAGGATCCATTCTTGCCTGACTTTCCCTATAAAACACAGGGACAAAACTGCAACAAGGAGTTCTGTGAGCCAGGGAATTTAAGGAAACCATGTGATACGTCACTTTTGCGTCAGTTCCCTGATTTAGGGAATTTTTTTAGTCTTGCTCCCTGCCTGGGCACTAAGAGCTATAAATCTGAGACTTGTCCCCTTGAATGCAGCTGAAATTTTCTGTTGTGGTTCAAAATAATGGGAAGAAGGAGGAGGTTGGATGGGCAGTGGGGCCACATAACTGTAGGTGCCTTGTTTCCTTAGGAAATGGAAACAGGGCTAAATGGAAGTGGCTAAAATTTAGTTGGAAGTAGAAGAATCATGTGAGATACAGGTTCTGAAGTGAGATTTTTCACTTGTTCAGTAATCAAGGCTCGGTGCTGCTCAGGCAGAGGGGCTGTCATTGCCTTTGGTGTGTCCAGGTCTGGAAAAAACCACTCCTGGAAGCCTCTCAGCAGCTGGAGCACCTCGGAGTCCCTCTTCCACTTGCAAAGTGACTGGTGTTGAGGCAAAGACGTGGAGTCCTGAGCAAAGAAATGCCACAGCAGGTAAAAAAACCAACAGCTTGGGATTTGAGAGGTTTGGTTTAAGGGAATCAGCAGTTCACGGTGAGAAGCTTCTGGCTGAGCTTTATCACGAGCCAGTGAGGAACTGGTTAAAGTTGAAGGATAAGAAGAAAAAGGTAGAAGAGGCTGCAAAGAGTTTTAGTCAGCAAAGGAGTGTGTGTGAGCAGCAGCAGTGACTCACCAGCCCCACTGCCCGGCTGCTCCTGAGTCAGAGCCCATGATCCCTCCCTGGCCAGGGGTTTTCCCTGCTGTCAGCACGGAGGGAGCCAGTCCCTGGAGGGGCAGCCAGCTGGACCCTGCCCAGCAGCAGCATCAGCAGGTACATCCCGAGGGCAAAACGTGTGCCTGCTCCCCTGGGCTGAGCCTGCTCGGGCTCCCCTGACCACTCGCCCCCTCGGGGTTCCAGCTGGGCAGCGTCTGTCCTGCTGCTTTCCCAGGTCTGAGTGGGCATCCCCTGAGGGTTCCCTGTCCCTCTGGTGTGGGAGGGTGTTGCTGTTGGCATCCTGTAGGCTCGTGTAGGCCGTGGAAGGCAGATAAACAGTGTCCTGCTTTCTGATAACATCATCCCTTGGGGAAAGCCCAGGCAGGAAAGGCTTCCTCCCAGGAGTAATTTATGCAAAAACCTGCTGCTGTGGAAAAAAAAGTGAGAGGAAAATAACAATATCTGGGCACAACACCTTCTCCTGGAGTGTTTGTTTAATTATAGAGCTGGGGAGCAGAAACAAAAATACCCACATGTGGTTTTCAGTGCAGGAACAGCTCCCCCTGGAGCAGGGCTGCCAGGATAAAGTCACCTGAACATTTCCACTTTGTCCTGATGGAGGGACATGCATTTCTATATGTGGTGTCATCAGGCTGCTCTCCTGTGGAGTGGGAATTTGATTTCTAAGGGAGGCAAAGCCAGCAGCACCCTGGGTTTGTTTTTTTTTTAGCTAGTGATGGTTGCCAGAGTTCTCCTGGACTGATCCTGAGCAAATACAGTGTTCACACAGACTATCCTCAAAAGCTGGCCAGGCTCCATATTTGTGTGTCTAAATTAGGATTAGATTGTATTATGGAAGGCAAGCTCCTTTCACCCAAAGTATTTTTATTTTAAATGAAACAGCCTGCAAACCTGAGGTAAGTCAGAGAACTCAGGGAGCACCCTTTGAGCACCCTTCTCAGAGCCAACCTATTAATTTTTCCACTCTTTCCCAGTCATTTCTGATCTCAAAATAAGCTGGTGTGCCCGGAATGCCACTGCTTAATTATTTTGGGCGGGTGCAACAGATGGGCTGCAATTTGTGTGAGGGATGGAGGTTCCCTTCCCAAGCTCCTCGTGCCAGAGCACTGTTCCCATGTGCACAGAGCCCAAAAGATGTGGTTTGGGGCACGGTGCTGGTGGTCAGGAAGGGGACACAAAATGCAGCTCTCTGAGTGTGTCTGCTCCTGAGCACTCCCAGAGCTTTGTTGTCCCTCACAGAAATAATCAGCTCTGGGTGCTTGTGGCTTTTCCCAGGTTAGACAAACCTGACCTAGTGCTGCCTAGGAGTGAGAGGTTGTGCTGTGCTCCTGGCCAGCCTGCTCGAGGGGCATGGATTTGGAACGCTGGTCAGTGCTGCAGGA